GTCACATAGCTAGTAAGTGTCAAGTATTTGGTCTGAGACCGCATTTGAGCTCAGATCTTCCTGACCTCAGGGCCAGTGTTCTATCTGCCATACCACCTAGCTGCCCCAACCTTTCTACTAAGAGAAATATGATCACTAAGCCACTTTAGAAAATCCTACCAACTTTTTTCTCTTTGAAGCCTTCTCTGCTTTCTTAAATACTCCTCAATTACTCCATTTTGAGTTGTTTTTCAATTTGAATTCTGCCAAAATTTTTTCTTACTAAGTTCAGTCCTTGATCTTTTTTCTAGTGCCATTACTTTTCATATTTTCTTTACCGATATTAATTTTTCCTTTTTAATCTCATTTTTTTTCCTCCTTCAAAGTCTAGCTCCATTTTCATCCTTATTGGGATTTTTCCATGACCACTTGAAGCCCTCACTGAATTCTCCTTCCTCTCTGTAGTGTATGTTGCTCGTTTAGTTTTGTATTTAGTAAAATACTCATTGTAAATTTACCTGGTTTGGGGAGAGAAAGTGAAGATTTTACTAATCTTTAACATCTTCATAGCTTAACGTTGTGCTGATTAGGGACTGAGGAAACATGTACACACATATATGTAAATTGGTTGTTTCAGGGTTAGCTGGTGAGGCAGAAGTGCATGAGGAGGATCATGATGTCACTCAGACAGAGGGAGCAGACGGAGATATAATGGATGGAGAAACTGAAAATGATACTGTTGTGATTGCTGGGCAACCAGAGGTACTTAGTACCCAGGAGATGCAGGTATGAGAACACTGACTCAATCTCAGGGCTTCTACTTTGTGTTCTACTTTTGAGATGTTTTTGTGTTATCGGATTTTTGTTTGTTTTTTTAAAGAAACTACAGTCAGTGACAGAAGTGAACTGGTAATTCCCCTGCTAATGTTGTGGCTTAACTACTTACTGCCTATTTGCCATTGAGAAAATCAATTAATTTTGCTTCTCCACTCTCGTAAAATAAATAAGGGAATTTTTTGAGAAAGCCAGAATGTGGTTGGTTTGTTTTTAAAGTCTTGAGCCCCCGATGAGTGTGAATTTTCTATAAAACTTGGAAAATGAAGACAATTTTTTTTTTCTTTTTGAGTTCCAAATTCCATCCCTTCCTTCCTTCTTTTCCTTCCCCCTCTCTGAGACGATAAACAATCATATATAGGTAATACGTGTGGAATTATGTAAAACATTTCCATGTTAGTCATTTCATACAAGAAAATTCGAAAGAAAAATATGAAAGAAACTGAAAAACAGAATGTTTCGGTCTTTATTTAATCAAAATCAGTTCTTCCTCTGGAGGTGAATAGTATGCTTCATCATTAGTCTTTTGGAATTGTCTTGTGTCATTGTATTGCCAAGAATAGCTAAGTCAGTCACAGTTCTTCATCAAACAGAATTGCTGTTACTATGTACAACATTCACCTGGTTCTGTTCACTGCACTATGCATCAGTTCATGTAAGTCTTTCCAGATTTTCAGAAATCATCCTCCTTGTTACTTCTTACAGCACAGTAATATTCCATTACAGTCATATGCCATAGCTTGTTTAGACGTTACCCAGTTGGGCATCCCTTTGATTTCCAGTGGTAGCAACCATAAAAAGAGCTGCTGTAAATATTTTTATACAAATAGGTCCTTTTCCTTTTTATATCTCTTTGGGCATAGTTCCAAATTGCTCTCCAGAATGGTTGGATCAGTTCACAACTCCAGCAAAAGTACATTAGTGTCCCAGTTTTCTCAACATCCCCTCCAATATCCAATATTTTCCTTTTTTTATCATAGAAGCCACTCTGATAGGTGTGAGGTGTTTTAATGTTCATTTCTCTGATCAGTAGTGATTTAGAGCATTTTATTTAATGACTGTACACAGCTTTGATTTCTTTGAAAACTGCCTGTTCGTATCCTCTACCAATTTGGGAATGACTTTTTTTTTTATAAATTTGACTCAGATCTCTATGTATTAGAGAAGTGAGGCCTTTATTAGAGGCACTTGTGAAAATAATTTTTTTCCAGTGTTCTGCTTGCCTTCTAATTTTGGTTGCATTGAATTTGTTTGTGCAAAACCTTTATCTGTTTCACATTTTGTAATACTATCCCATATCTTCTTTAGCCCTAAATTATTCCCTTATCCTTAAATTTGACAAATAAACTATTACACACCCTCTTAATGTGCTTTATGTGTAAATCGTGTACCTATTTTGGTACATGACCTTATCTTGTTATGTAATGTGAGATGTTAGACTTAGTTTCTGCCACACTGTTTTCCAGTTTTCGCAGCAGTTTTTGTCAAATAATGAGTTTTAGACAATCTTTCTAAAGAGACCAAAGGAAAAGCAGTTTAGTTGGTGCTTAAGAGCAGTGGAACTACTAGTAGCAGATGCAGCCATTTAATAGTGTTTATTTTTTTTCCCAAGTGTAAGGATACTTAAGAAATGTCAGTGCTTACTGACATGCCAAATAGTGGATTGACCATAGGTAACTTATGCCTTACATCTGGCTTCAGACTTATATTTTCATTGCTATCCCCTTGGAGGTACCAGTATTGAACAGAATAACAGATTTTCTTTACTTGCATTGTTTCTTCTTAGGTAGAGAATGAACTGGAGGACCTGATAGATGAGTTGCTTGAGAGCGATGGTGGATCAGGAAATAGTACAATCATAGGTGAGCATCATAGAACTGAATTCATGTGTTGGCTTCTCAGCATCTCTTTCTTTGAGAAATTCTGGGAAAATATTTCTTTTGTTTTTTTAGTTGTATATGAATGAATATTGCTAGACTTTTCCTTGGATCTTTAAATAACATCCTTTTTATTGTGACCAAGTGAAATCTGGCTAGAGAAGGCCTAGCAAAGTAAATATGGAACCCTTGTTTTAATCAAAGGATTTCTTAGAAAGCTCTAGGTTACATATTTCATTTTCTTACATTGAATTAAGGAATTCTCCCCAGAATTAAGTGACATAAATAAAGCATAATATTGATCCTGTCTCAATAATTAGACTTTATAAAGCCCCAGATAAAGGAAATACTCCTCTTCAGAAAGGGGCAAACTTTTTTTTATTGTGTTGGATGGACAGAAAAGTTAGAGGTCCATTTGCATCTGAAGGAAATGTTCCAGAAACAAGATCTAGGTACAAGATCTGTGGGCCTACCTGACATGATACCAAAAGGGATACCATTCCCAATTATTCAGTGGTTGGGGGGTCTGCTCTTAACCTTCAGTGGGCAGAACCGGAGAGGACGAGTCACAGGAAGATGTGTTGATGGATGAAGCTCCCTCCAACCTCAGCCAGGGTTCCACCTTACAGGCCAACCGAGAAGGTGAGAGTGCAAAGGCAAAATGACCCTCCTTCTTTGCCCTTCAAGCCTGGCACTCTAACAGTTTTTCCCCCAGGTTCTTACCTACCCAGATGAACAAAATTTCTTTTGATCTTTATATATCTCACAAATCCTATGATTACTTTTCTGCAAGTGGCATAGTCATCTGTTCTTAGATGAAATATTCAAGTTGGCAGTTTTCCATTGGCTTACTTGACTTAAATTTGTCTGTTTTGAATTTTTGTTTTGTTTCATTTCTCCCAGTGATATAGATCCTTTCACTCAAAGAATGTGGCAGATATGGGACACATTAACAGGGGGAAAAAAATGGGGGTTGGATGCCAGGAGCACCAGTAGTCCTTTCCTGCCCTGGCCACAAGATGTATAGTAGTAAAGTGTTATGCCTCACTGATGGGATCTAGGACTGACTTCTCCCAGTCCTTCCTTTCCTGTTGTAGTTAGTTTCCCTTTTTCCTTTTTGCCCATCTCACCATCTAATTATCTTTGTATTAGCCCACGTTCGTGGTATTTAACATGATTCCCTACTGTGACCCTTTGTTTTAGATTCAATGAATATCTTGGATCCTGAAGATGAGGAGGAGCACACTCAGGAAGAGGACAGCAGTGGTAGCAATGATGATGAAGATGATAGACAAGATGAAGAGGAAGAAGATGATGATCAGGTTATGAATTAGGAGTGTTGGGATATAAACAGAAATAGGTTGTATGATTCTTGATTGTATATTTCCATCTAATATTGCAACTTCTACTGATGAGACAGCTTTACAGGCTGCAGTTCCATTTTTTCCTATTTCCTTTTTTTAGGTTGATGAAGAAAGTGAAGAGGGAGATGAGGATGATGATGATGATGGGTCTGAGATGGAATTGGATGAAGATTATCCTGACATGAATGCTTCTCCTCTGGTCCGATTTGAGCGCTTTGACCGAGAAGATGACCTTATAATTGAGTTTGACAGCATGTTCTCCAGTGCTAGTAAGATAGTCACAATAAGAGTCACTTAACTTTGCCCCATGGAGGATATCTCTCCCAGCAGTTTCAAATGCCAGAACCCTAAATAAAGGGTTTTAGTCTAGCTAAGTTGCCGTTCTAAATCACCCTAACAAAGCTATAACTTCTGCCTGGAAGTGAGACATTGAGGTTTTGATCTAATTTTGATGAGAGTCAGAATGTGGAAGTATGTAGAAAGATAAGGAGTTGGGTTCTTAGCTCTACAATTTTCTCAATGCTGATTCATGTTTTATAATATCAGCAATATGTGTTGAAAATTTTTTTTGTTTGGTTAGTCCACCTCAGTCCAATGTAGTTATCCCACACACAGAACAGCACAGCATATTGAAAGACTCAGTAATCCTGGGTTCTGCCCCAAAAAGATGTGTTGTTAAATTTGTTAAATTTCTTTAGGCTTAAATTTTTTTTAACCAGTAACTCCTAGTGCTCTATTAGTCTATGATTGTAGTAGATTTTTTTTGGCCTACAATGACCTTCACTTCTTTCTTAAGTGAAAACAAAAGTAAAAGATTGTAGAGGGCATATATAGATTAAGAAAGCTCTCCTGATGCATGTATATCTCCCTACAGCGGACATCCCTCCCATCCCCAGGAAACATCCCTGCTACACATCCCCTGATGATACGGCATGCAGATCATAGTGCCCTTACTCTTGGTAGTGGCTCCTCTACCACTCGCCTTGCCCAAGGTATTGGTCGAAGCCAGAGGACATTGAGGCAGTTGACTGCCAACACAGGCCGCACGATCCACGTCCGCTACCCTGGAAATCGACAGCCCAATCCTCCACTCATTCTGCAGAGGTAAATTGGCATTGAAACCATCTCTGCCTCTAGGAATCAGAATTCCTATTTTTCCCAAGCAGTAATATCGTAACCTCTTTAGAGCAAGTTTTTTCCTTCTTCTGTGTTCTCATCACATACAAATAAGATAACGTGTCAATGCATTTTTTTGGGGAGAAGTTAAAAATTGGAAGTTAGTGAAGTTCTCAATAAACTTAAGATTAGCAGTGGGGGCAGAATTGCTTCATTTTGCTTGTTTTTGTACACACAATATTGTTTATTCTTTTCTCACCTCTCGTAAGAAATACACACTGTACAAAATGAGATTATAGTAACTTTTTGCATTAAAAAAAAAGTCTTGAAAGTAGAGAAAAGAATCGTTGGACGACAACCTGAATTAGAGTTACAGTGTGACATAGCATACCAGAACCTAATGTAATTCGTAGATTTATTAATAGGAGTAGAATCAGGAAAAGAAAAAAACCTGTTTTCCTACCTAAGTTAGACTTAATGACAATAATACTAAAATAGAGTGAAAATAATAAAATATAACTGTTTTCAGAGAGATAATGACAAGCCAAAGAATGATCCAAGTGAACTATTTTGCCTGGAAAATAACCTCCAGGAGTTATGATGGTCAAATTGATATTTCAGGTTGCTGGGTCCCTCTACTGCTGCAGATATTCTTCAGCTGAGTAGCAGTCTTCCCCTGCAAAGCCGGGGACGAGCACGCCTCCTAGTGGGTAGTGATGATATACGTATCATTGCCTGTTCAGATGATGAATTTCTAGATGACTTCTTTCATGATCAAAGCACAGCTGCAAGCCAGGCAGGCAAGTTTATGTGGGGGGATGTGAGAATAGGGAGTGTTCTGTAACCTAATATCAGTTTAGAACAGACCAGCAAAAATATTCCTTACTGATAGTGGATTTCGGAGAATGTAAATCCCTTTGGGGAACAACAATTTAGTCACTGCATAGATAAAATCAAAATTTTATATATTTTCTTAGAGAGTATAGAATTACGTGACCCTTCACTTTCCAATCTGGTTTGAATCTTGGTTAAAAATTA